TTGAAAATTGTAATTTCGGCTATATTTTCCGCAAAAAGTGTACCCTTTTCAAGGCCGTTTTTCTCTATATTTTCCTTCTTTCTTTCATGAAAATATATGCAAATAAATGACAATTCTTTTACGATTTTGTTTTTTTTTGGGGCGATGAATACATATGTTGACCTTTAGAACAATTACAGAATTCGTGATGAAACACCTTCTTGGGCTCCTCCTTCAGCTGCCTGCCTTCTCTTTTTCTGTTTGATTTCGCTGATCTTGCTTTTTATTTTCTTCTCATCAAGGAACTCTTCGATTGGGTTTGCCTCCTTTATCATCTCATATCTTTCCAGGACCAGTGCATAGCATGTCTTTGGTGCAATGTTTTCATTTGCGTCAAAAATATCATTGATGATATTTGAAAGCACATCTGTAAAACGGATTTAGCTCCGTTACGTTACAAGAGAATGAATGCCAAAAGTTTAGCCAATTATCTTTTTTTTCTGGCTTAAATAGTCCCATGGGAGTGAGAACAAATTTGTACCCCGGTGGTATACATTACATGTTAATTAGCACACAGCGTTATGTTTGTCGACGAATGGGGCAGTAGTTATACCTGGACTCGTCCCTGGTCTTCACTGCACATTGATCTAATAGGTAACAGTTACTGTCTTCTTATGTCAGGAACTCGATGGTTTATTTCCACATTTAAACATTTTTGGGTTACATTTTAATTTGTGGACATTCTCTTTTATATGATAGCCTAAGTTACGGGGGTGGAGAGAACATGCATTAGCAAAAGCGTATTGTTAATATGTTTCATCGCCTTTACAAGTCTCGCACCAAAAAAGGGTCACATACTACTTGCCCTGTATGATGGCGCGTTCTTGTTTACATTGTAAACTAAGACTTCCATCAAATATTTATTCCTTGTATAAAATCTATGTCCTATTTCATTCCATGTGGCTCAACTGTCGGACCTGTCAGATACATCCACATATCAGCAAACCTCTTGTTTTTGCGGGCCCAGACTTTTCTGATTTGCTGAAAATCCTCGAGACACCAAAAGAGTTATGCCTTGCAGCTGCTACACTAGACTAAGCATGGCATAGCTACGTTGTACATTGGTGAGTGAAAGACAACTACAAAATTCGTATCGTACATATAGTGTACATACAGTTCATCACTATAAGAAGCCTAGTCTAAATTTTGATGTTTCCTTGTCCAGGGTTATTCATGAGAGTGGAATTTCCCGACCAATGCTATGGAGAAATAAAGATCACGAGGTGATGCGGGTAGTTCTACTAGACAATCGGAAAGAAATACCCATTTTCTGTAAGACCGTGGTTTTTAGTTTCTAGAGTAGTCGATCTTGCAGAAAAGAAAGCTGAGAGAATAAAGACCATCCTAGTGGGATCAACCCTCTTGTTGTCTGTGCGAGTACACTTGCTGTTATTATTATTATTAATGACTATGGACAAAATTCACAAAAATAAAACGGCATTTATTACTCACTTTTAGAGGAACTCAGTATTATCTACACAAATTTCTTCCTTTATTGCTTCTCTGAATCTGCGGTTTTTATGGAACACACCCTATCTGATACCTGTAGGGAAACCAGTTTCGAACCATATTACTACCACAATATTCTACCAAGTCTAAAAAGTCCATTATCTTCTGATTTTCTAATAAACACTTGACTTTCATGTAAATTGGTTAAATTCTATATGTGTTAGAAAAGGTTCACATTTTAGGGAAAAGACTCTTCTCCCACTCTGTGGCGCTGGCTGAGTCCCAGATTAGGAAAGTTGTGTCACTTGAGAATCATTATACGTAACTACTGAAAGTAGTTTGATTTTATGATTGTAATTTTTTTGTGAAAACGAAGTTTTTCAGACCTCGTACTTTTAAGCGTTTTTGTATAGTAATAATAACATAGTATAGTAACACTGTATAGTAATAATAGCTTACTGGTTAAAATCCACCCTACATTTAGCTAAGATATATCGAATACATTTTTGGTATTTGAAACCATCAAATAGGCTTTTTACATATTTTTTTGAAGTTTCTAAACATTCTTTATTCTAACAGAAAATTCACTTTGAATGTTTCTACAGAAAATTAACAAATTTAATTCTAGATGTTACTTGAACTAATCAAGAAAATAAGATCCAAAGTTTTATGTTTCAAAATTAGATGAAAAAAAAAAGAGTATTCCTGGATTATTTACTCCCACCATTCTAACTCCGTGAAATGAAAAAACTATTAAACGTGAACGTAAATGAGCAGTCTTGGTACTTTTACGCCTAGCAAACTATTTCCATTTTTGATTTAAAATACTTAATGAGTTAAAAACACCATAGACGAAAATGATAAGTCTTTTTTCTTCAAAGAACACATTCTAAACATCAAGAGTGTTAAAGTTTGACATTTACTATATTTATCTGTTTGGTTTTTTGTTGTTATTCACCTGATCATGAACGACATCTTATGCGCATAATGAGCTAAACGAGAAGGTAAGAGACCCCAATAATTCAGGCATAACCATATCTAATCTTGATCAGCGAACAAGAGAGAGAGAGTGTGTGTGTGATATTCAGGTAGCCTAAAATCTCGGCAATACAGCAGAAAAGGATAAACTGAACACCGACAGCAAAGGAAAATATATATATAAGTGAACAATTAAAACAATATTTATTTACAAGAATGTTTTGTTTATGTATTTCGCTTACTGGTCAGCTTCTCAATTCTCGTTGCGTTTTCCTAAATACGTCCTGAAAGGGTAAGAACGGCAAGAGTGGTCATGTCTGCACAAGACAAGGACATGGAAAATAATGATATAAGTCTGATAAAAAGGGCCCTAGTATAGCATCTCATAATCCATAGCTTATCTATATCAAAGAACAATCGTGGCCCAGTACTTAGTATGCTGGTCTGTAGATCCGTGGTTTGCACCCCCTTTATGACCAAAAATATCACGCTCCACCCTTTGAGGTCGTTATTGCATTTTAAGCAGTGGCGTATCCAGGAATTTGAAAAGGGGGTTGGGGTGGCAAGTCTTAACATTTATATTTGCATATAATTTCTATTTATTTCAATAATATTTAAACTTCATTATTTCCTGGTGAAAAATAAAAATACAAGCCAAAGGGGGGGGGGGCATGGCCGCATGCTCACTCCCCCCCCCTCCCGACCACGCCAGTGATTGTAAGAGTGCCGGTCAAATCTCACTATTCAATTAGAATAGCCCATGAGTTGGCGGTATATGATGTTACTAGCTGCCTTTCCTTTTGCCTATCACCTAAAATTAGGGATGGCTAGCGTAGATAGCCCTCGAGTAGCTTTGAGAAAAAATCAAAAAACAACAATAAAAACTTTCGTCAATGACTATTTTAAATTACATATTCAAGTGAGAGAACTCCCAATTTGTATTAACTTTTACAAGTAACTGTGTCACCCCTTGAAATGAACATACTCTGCTGTAGTGGACATCGGCACAGGACCAAATTGGTATAAGTTTTATGAAATAGTTGTTACTGTATGTAACTTTCACCCTTCGACCTTTCGAAATTCGACTTACAAACATGTTATAATTACGTACAAAACACCTGTATGGAAATTCAGTAAACTGTTTGAATATTTCTTGCTATAGACATATTCTACAAAAGTTATGAAAGGGTAAATTTATCAGTTGTTTAAACTGTGACAAAAAGGTTTTTTGTTTGTTTATAATTAAGCACAAAGCTACACAATGGGCTATCTGTGCTCTGTCCACCACGGGTATCGAAACCCGAATTATAGGGTTGTAAGTCCGCAGAAATACCGCTGGGCCACTGGGGGGGGGGGGGGCGGACAAAAAAGGTAATTAGTTGATACTTAGAGATACTTTTCTGTTTTGTTTTTTTACGATAATAATAGTTTAATTTAGTCCATTTTGCTTTGAAGCTTAAAAAACTTCAACAAAAATAATCAAAGTTATAATTCTGCTGTCTTAATACAGTAACGGTTCTAAGTGTAAAATGACTATACTAATATATTCTTCATACATATTTGTATACAGAAAATTTCTATATAATCTATACAAAAACAACAACAACACAGAAACATACCTTACATATTTATTTAATTTTTCTGTTTACACTTTCATGTACAATTTACCTGTATGTGTTGGGGCCCGGCATGGCCAGGTGGTTAGGGCGCTCGACTCGCAATCTGCGGGTCGCGGGTTCGAATCCCCGTCACATTAAACATGCTCGCCCTTTCAGCCGTGGGGGCGTTATAATGTGATGGTTCGTTGGTAAAAGAGTAGCCCAAGAGTTGGCGGTGGGTGGCGATGACTAGCTGCTTTCTCTCTAGTCTTACACTGCTAAATTAGGGACTGTATGCGTTGAATACGAACAGTTATTCATTTCTTGTAAATCCTTATAAGAAGTGTAAGCTTATAAGAATAATATATGGACTTTTAAATTAAAATTATTATTTCACCATTTCGTGTTATTTCTTACTTTATCAATATATGTTATTTGAATATAAATATCTAGGAGTGCGTGTAGATAGAATAAGAACATATACAAATGTATTTTACTTTATTTCTCATTATTCTGACGATACTTGTGGCAACTATACAAATATATATATATATATATATCAAATATTTCCTGAAGGGTAGCCCAAGAGTTGTGAGTAGTCTGTAAGGTCCAAATTAGGGAGTGATAGCGCAGATAGCACTTGAGTAGTTTTGCTCGAATATCCGAAAATCAAACATATTTGGTTAAATATTTAGAAAATACTATATTTTTAAATATCAGTTTTTAATATATATGTTTTCTAAATTGATTTTTTCAAATATTTAAATAATCGTATTTAATTTCTAGTATTAGGTTATGTTGGTATACTTTACTAAGGTTAAAACGCATTTTACATTGGTTATTAGCTATTTAAACTCAAATGGTACAATGTAAAGTTCTTACTTAATACTAGAAATTGACAACGATCCCTTTCTGCAAGTTTGTCGTACATTGTTGCAACGTCAGCTGTGTGAACATTCATTCAGTGTGCAGTTATAATCATCTTCTTGTGGGATTACGTAGTTAACGTAACTGGGCTGCTGTATTTGTTTAAATTGTAGGAAGAACAGATGAAGGACCAGTGAATGCTGAATAGCTTACTTGTAGATTATATGTAAAAAATTGCGCTTATTTTTCAGTATTATTTATGTAATCAAGGTTTTGAATCATACACAAGGCTGTGACTCGTGTGAGATTCACAATTTTTTTAAAACCTTATGAGTCGAACAAACAACTGTTGTGTTTTGTGGGCAGCACTACAGCTAGGCCTACACTAGTACTATTCTACTAATCATTTTTAGTACTAGTACTACAACTATTAGTGTAACACTACAGCATTAGTACTACAGCTTGGTCGTGTCAAACTGTAAGTTATTTTGCATTAAGCATTTATGTATACATAATACAGTTAATGCCATTTTGTGTTGGACTTCTTTAGTTCTTAGGTTTGACACAGTGATTTCTTGCAAGCTACTCAAGTTAAAAGTATTTTATAAATTTAATTCATAACCCGTTAACTTAAGGTAATATAAGTTATAATTTATTTTTAAAATCGATGAAGGCTGCATGTTCTGTTTTTACTGTATAGGTTAATTTTGAAATTAGACTAAGTTTGTAAGGTAAACGCAATGCTAAATTAAAAATTCAAAAGTTGGAACGTTTATTGGAGAGTTATATATTTGAAGCTAAATTTTAGTCAGCTACTTATCATTAGATTTACCATATTGCCATAGTAAAAACTGGGACTTTTTTTATGCCATACAGAGGGATGCTGTAATAGATCTGAAACAGTTTCATAAACTTTAAATAACACTTTTTACCATTTGCTAAATAAATTGATGTTTATTGCATTGTGCTTTCAAACTACAGACAAACAAGATTTCTTAAAAGGATATCTAGTTAAAATAATATAAGTGCATCTAAGTTGTCTTGAATCTAGTCAAAAGAAAAATTTTGCTTTATTTTATTTTATGTTTGGGCAGGTCTTTCAATTTCAGTTTCTGCAACTGCACAATGAAAGGTTAGGTTAAGGAAACATAACAAAGAGTGTGATTCTCCTGGTAAAATTTAAAGAAGCCATGTGTAGTGACAAACTGTACATATCAAACTCATATTGAGATAGAGAGAAACTGTGACAGTTTAATACTTTAACTGTTTTTGAATGGGACAAAAAATAAGACTAAAACTGGGGCAACCCCAGTTTTATTGGAAAGTCTGGTAACCCTACTATCATTGGAATATTATCAAAATAAGTTATCTGAATAGTTCTAAATCAGTAAATGAGAACTGAAAATTAGCCTAATAATTGATAGAGCTAATTTAATACCATTCTTACTTACAATGGTTAGAATGCATAAATTTATTAGTTTGGCACTTATGCTGTAAGCAGTATTTTTTGTCTGTAATTCCAATAACATCTTGAGAGGTTCAGACAACTTAGGGAATTTGGGTTATTTCTAAATCCATGTGTTTAGCACATATAGAATAATGCTCATAACAGAAAATATTGAATAGAAAATGAAAAATAAAAAACATAACCAATATAGTTAATAAAACTAGTGTTAAAGAAGTAATAAAATATAACTTATGAAACAGACAAACTAAAAAAAATACTAAATTTTTTACTTTATGCAGAGTTGCAACACTGATAAAAGTTTTATTCTTGTAAACATAAATTCAAATAGTTTAAGATTCAAATTTTAAAATTAATACATAATATAGGTTGTTTTGGACAGTTTTAGGTTTTCTCAGTTACAAATGTTTTAAAAACTTAATGAAATGGTTTTCCCAACACCTTACTTTCAAAGTTGAATTGAAAAAAAAACAATTTGGTTTGTGTATTCTATCTGGTAAGACAAAATTTGGGAAGAGTTTTTAAGTAAGATAGTAGCATATAATACTATCTTGTTAAATCATTTAAATTATAGAAAATCAGTAGTGTATGTGTAACAAGTAAAATTAAAGCTTTATTATTTGAAGATGCATACGTGTTTTAAGATTTAAAGTTATATTTATTTTGAAAATTGTTTTTATCACGGGTCTAGATTTTTTGGTTGAACACAATGGGGAAGGACTACTACAAAATTTTAGGCTTAAAAAGAAATGCTAGTGATGGTGAGATAAAAAAGGCTTATCGTAAGCTAGCTTTAAAATTCCATCCTGATAAGAATAAGAGTCCTGAAGCAGAAGAAAAGTTCAAAGAAGTAGCAGAAGCTTATGAAGTACTGAGTGACAAGAAGAAGAAAGAAATATATGACCAGTATGGTGAAGAAGGGCTAAAAGGAAGTAGTGGAGGAGGAAGTGGTGGTGGCGGCTCAGGGCCTCAGTACACCTATACCTTCCACGGAGACCCTAGAGCCACATTTGCCCAGTTCTTTGGAACTGACAACCCATTTGAAAACTTTTTCTCCATGGGTGGTCTTGGTGGGCATGGAGGAGGGCCAAATCTTTTCTTTATGGATGATGATATGGACATTGAATCAGATTTATTCACTTCATCTTTTGGCAGTAATAGCCGTAATAATCCCTTCCGGTCACAGAGTTTTACTGCAGGGAGCCCAAACATGGGTAGATCAAAGTCACACAAACAGGATCCACCAATTGAGCATGACCTTTACCTTTCCTTGGAAGAGGCCTTTAAAGGCTGTGCCAAAAAAATGAAGATCAGTAGGAAAGTGTTGAATCCAGATGGTCGTTCGACTCGACGAGAAGAAAAGGTGCTGACAATTAACATTAAACCTGGCTGGAAAGCAGGAACCAAGATTACTTTTCAAAGAGAAGGAGACCAAGGTGTTGGCACTATTCCTGCAGATATTGTATTTGTGGTTAAGGACAAACCTCACTCATTGTTCAAACGAGAAGGCAGTGATATTAAGTATGTGGCTAAAATCACTTTAAAAGAAGTAAGTTCCTAGTTTTTTGGAAATATTGTACATTTTTGTAACTAAAATATTAACTAATTAAAGGAAATGTATTAAAAGTGAAAGTAAGAAAAAAATAAGATAGAATTAATGGTTATAGAAATTTTTATTTAAATGTCAAAATGCAACTTGTTGGTAAAAGTGAGTAACTTAAGAACACAAGAAAGAAAGTGACAGATGGCCATTCAGCCCATCATAGTCATCCAAAAAACAAACCAGCACAACATAATCATAAATGTTCGCATCCAAAAAATTATCCAACAAAAATTTAAGAGTTCAAGCTACCAGCACACACCACATCATTTAGAAAAACATTCTACATGTGAGCAACTCTTAACAGAGAAAAAAATACCCAATAATCAGGCTATATCTAGACTTCCACATCTTACTCTTATTTCCTTTTACATTTAGTATTTCGATTTCAACCTTGTCCTTTCACCATTCCAAAAACCTTCACATGAGCAGTTTATCCAAGCCCTTAGCAATTTTAAACAACTGAATAAGGTCACATCTAATTGCTTTTATGCTCCTGACAAAGCGAGTTAGTCAGCGAGGCTCTTCACAACTTAAATTTTTCTAACCAGGAACCATTTCAGTAATTTGTCTCTGAACATTTTCAAGTAAATCAATGTCTAAACTGCAGTAAGGAAACCAAAATTAAACATAATACCCTTCATGAAGTTTCACCATAGTTTTGTACAATGTGATAACCTCCCTACTTCTGAACTCAACATTTATATAAAAAAGACTCTAGAACCCATTTGCTCTTTACATCACTTCCAGGCATTCATTTGAAGGCTTGAGGCTTTTATCAATCATCACAACCAAATTATTTCTTATTCTCCACATCTAATATTTCTCTCAGACAGAAACAAATGTTTTCAAATTTCTAAGTGCATCACTTTACATTTTCATTGTTGAAGTTCATTTCATACAGATCAGCCCACTCAGCAAGACTGCCCAAGTCCTACATTAAGGAATTAGTTCTAAAGAATCAGCATTTCCCATAAGTTTAGTATCATCAGCAAATCTTACTGCTCATATGATAGTCCATATCATTGATATAGATGATAAACAACAAACATCCCAAGATAGACCCTTCTAGTCTCATTTTCACAATCAGAATGTTATCATCCCTCTTTTTGTTTCTATTTTCAAACCAATTTTTAATCTACCTCTTAAGTGTTCCCCAATTCTTCAAGAATCTAATTTATTAATCAGTGTATTACAAGGAACCTTACCAACCATAAGTAATTTCCACAGCATAAGGAGTACAGATAAATAAATGTTTAATATATGAAAAGCTACCATAGTTAGCATTTTATCAATAAGTAAATTAAGCCTGAAAATACAACACTTTCATGATAAGTCAGTTCTTTTCAAAAATGAATTTTATAGTGTATTATCTTCATCTTTCACAGAACAGAGTTCATGCACTAGGTTAAGTAACTATATTCAACCATTTTTTTTAGATAGAATTGTTTTTTTTTTCCATTACTACAAAGTGCTTTATTAATAATCTTCACTTTATTCGGGTTTTCTGGGATAAACTGACAACTTATTGAAGGGGATATTTATAAATTATGTGCTCAGGGTGACCATTTTAGGCTTGGTAATGTTTTGTCTAAGCTTATTTCTCTGTCCTGTTCTTGAACATTGTCTTTTCAGTGGCACTGTCTAAAACAAGTAGCAGTTGAAATTTGTTTTATATGCACTGTTTCTAGTTTTGTAGAATATCATGTTTAAGGATATAAATATTTTTTATACTCAGTTAATCTTACTACTGTATAAGAATTTCTTAGTGTAAATTTTGTTTGCAGGCATTGTGTGGAACTAACGTCGATATACCTACCTTGACTGGAGAAAAACTGACACTTCGTATCAAAGATATAATTAAGCCAAATGTGATACGTCGTATTGCAGGACATGGTCTTCCATACCCTAAGGAGCCAAATCGAAGAGGTGACCTAAATGTGGTCTTCGATATTAAGTTTCCAGACACCTTAAATGAATCTACAAAACAAATATTATGGGATTGTTTACCTTAAATTTCCATAGTCTTAGGTACACTTCTACAAAGTTGTTTGTTTGGGTCAGAAAATTCTATTGTATAAAATAAAGATGTGGCATTTTGAAATGTTTGCTGCTAAAATTATATATAAACTGTATACAAATATCTTTGAACTGATTTTTTTAAACAGTTTTTAATGAGCAGTACAAAAAAGGTGCTAAACCCAAGTTATCTGGCAATGTTTGATACATTGGCCTGATGTGTTAAATTACTTGGTATTTTTTCATATTGGAGTAAATGATATTAGCTTTAGATAAAATAGCTATTAATATTGCTTCACAAAGGCTATATATGTATATACATTTTCATAGTCTTTTACTGTATGTGTTATAAATTTTGAGTTGCCAATATTTGACAGTAAAATGTAAGAGACTTAGAAGACAAAATTTAAATGAAGCTCAAGTGATACTTCAAACTTACTAGAAAATTTCAATAGGAATTGCTATAAACACTGTAAATGGTTATTGTATTTGCTGAGGGTTGGCCACATTCATGAAGAATCTATAAATACATGTTCTTGATGTATATCTAATTTTTTTTTTTAACTTGGTGAAGGATATCACTGATATACTAGGTTCCTTGAATGTGACTATCCCCAGCAATAATGTTTCAAGCTGTAGTAAATATCAGGATATCATATTATAAGATAAGGACTTATTTCAGTGTACTTAAAACAGGCTATTGTTTTTGGTGATACTGTGGTGCTTATTTACAGTACGTTTTATACCATACAGTCTCAAATAAAGATGTATTGTCAGTTTTGTTAATAATGTATTTCCTTAACATGATGTGGTTACAAATTTTTGTTGATTGGTAACATTAACTCGGTGTTTGTGTAGAAGTGGTAGTTTTGTTCCTCACACATTCTGTTCATACAAGTTAAACATTTTAGAACTGTAAATAAAGAAATAGATTTTATTTGTTGTAAATAGTCACTGTTGATAATTTCAATCAAAGGTAAAAGAAAGCAACACATAATTACAGTAAGGAAGAGTAAGGTTGATTACTTTGAAAAGTCTTAGTGATTTAGATTTACACTTAATACACAAAATGTCAAGAATTGGAAACATCAAATATAGTCAAACGTTATTAAAAAAAATGTCAGGTATGCACAGCATGCAAGTCATTTATTCTTAATGCAATATTATATGGCATGGCCATGACGCAATAGTTTAATTTATATGCATAAGAACCTGGAGATAACGGAGTAACTGTAGACATTATGATTCTCGTGTAGGCCATGTAGTGCCCTCATACGTAACCCGTAATTTTATTACATTTTTGTGAATAATCCAGTTGGAAGAGCTAAGAAAATTCGTTTCTACAAAGTTCAGTGCTTCACCTTTGACTAACAAAAATCTGGAAGTATTTATCTTCGCAAGTATTTTTTATATCATAAAAACAACAATAACATATACGGTTACTTAGATTCCTATCGCAGTAGATACTGAGAGTTGGAATAACTTAACATAAAATAACTTCGAAAGTCAATTGACGAAAATTTGCTTTATCGGTATGTACATTTGTTAAAAATAAGAGATACACGGGATTATTTTATATAGGGTAAAATTATTAGACAAACGATATAATTTCAAATTAGTGTATAAAGGTGTTAGACATTCGATCTTTGTCGTGTTGGTAACTGATCAGCTTTGTAGTCTCACTGAAGAAGTGAGTCATACGGTTCCAGAATGAGCGCAAACAAACATTTCTGTAGGCTCCGGATGCCCTCTTAGTAGTGAAAATCTGGTCACGAGACCACTGCATGACGAGTAAGACCAAAATAGGCAGGCCCTACTTTGCAGTTGGCTTTCTTTTCTGGTGTGTGTGGTTTGACGTATGTACACCATTGCTTTTCCTTTTGACATTTACTTTCATTTCTGCTATACCCTCATCTCTACCACCAATACAAGTACCTCTCTCTTATTTGCGTTGTAGTTGGATCTGATAGCCTGCGTAACCAACTATATCAGATCATCGCTTTAAACTCGTGTGTGACGTGTAAACAATTTTGTTTAAAGATTTATGGAAGCGTACATCTGAATAATATATTATTAACTTCATATTTGTAATTTTTCGTATTCGATATTTTCTTTGCACACTGTTCGATAGCCATAAAAGTACATTTATTATTCCATACTTATGAAAGCTAATCAGCTCAATCTCACTGTAACTTCCAATAAAACATTGAGCTGAATGCATATTTTCATCTACTAACTCGCAATATTCATTTTGTACTTATTATTTATCAGATATTACCTATTTTTAAACCTATTCAAACAAACTATTAGCTAGGTATCGAGTAATTTGAAAATAACTATGTATTAATATTTGTATTAAGAGATTTTTTTACATAAAAATATCCAATATAGTTTTTGCATCTTTGAGGGTGAGTATGAACTAGCGTTTATCTGCCCGAACTGTGAGTATGAGGGTTCAAGATTTGCGTCCCGTTGTCAGAAGAACACGCTCCGCCTTTTGGATTCGTGGGTGTGTGCTGTTAGAATGTTTTCCCAATATTCGGTCAGACAATAGTTGGAGATAGGTATTGTTGACTAGCTGCCTTCCCTCTAGTCTATTATTTCAAAAATTAAGGACTGCCAGGCGTAAGTAGCCTTCGTGTAGTTATGTGCGAAAATTATAAAAATAATTCAACATCATTTTTATTATCAAGTTTTCGACGAAACTGCAGTAGCCGAGAAAAAAATTACACATTCAAGTATAAAGTTATTTGTATTGTTGCAGGTTTTGCTTACTCTCCCTCATGGTTGTGTGCATTCATAGTGAAAGGTGGCGTTTGGGGCGTCCACATTTTTGGAGCTAGAGGTAGCTCTTGCTTACTATTGTTGTTGCCCCCCCCCCCCTTTTTACCTCATATAAATATGAAACATTTTCTTTTATTAATAACAAATCTCGAATTATGAACAACAGGGTATTGAAATTTCGAACTATTTTATAATACCAATGAGAGGTGATAATGGTGAGATATAGTTTAAAACTCCAATTATCACTGACCTATGATCAGAACAAGCCATCTCCTTAGATCAAAACTAAAAGTTAACCCAGTAACATAATGTACCGTTCTAACTTATAATGATTATAGCATATTAACTTATCTGTTGGATACTCTCCGTTAGCAGTATTTTTCAGCTGTATTGACAGGTTCAGATTTGTATTAGCATGAGCAAATATATTTCGTATTTCCAAGTTCTGTGTACTTTGGTGTAATCAGATTTATTTTTCAGCATAAAACGAATCTGTGGTGTGTATCTTTTAGCTCAAACAAATCAAAAGTTATATGTTTATTTATGGCAATGAAAATAAGTCATATTATGTCGTGGTACTTAACTTTGATCTTTTAATAGTATGAGTTGATTCTTACTCTCTGAAATTATCTAGCCTATTTAATGACGTTGTACAGCATCCGGTTATGACGTCACCTCTTCATCAGTATTGTAGGGCTAATTTGAACGTGGTTAGATGACAGATTATGTTGGTAAATAGTTATTTTAAAAAATAAAATATATATTATTATTTAAAAAATCAACAACATTAGTTCACCGTATCAGAATTACAGTGAATTACAAAACACCGTGGTATGGATATGAATAGTATAAATATAGTAAAATCTACAATGAAACAGTTTATTGATGGAAGTATGAACCAGAGTATGTGTTTTTTGAATAAACTTTCTGTTCGCCTAGACGCCTACACTAAATAAATCACGAGAATAAGTGTGCTATCGGGTCGTGCTGTGAAATATGTAAAATGGCTAGTCACATAGGTACCAACTTGTAAAGATCTTCAGAATCCTTCTTTACTTGTATTATGAACTAACCAATTAACAAAACGTCTATATGAAAACGGGTCAGTAAACTTATTATGCCTGTCGTAAGTACGAAATTAACATATTCAAATAAAAAAGGTCAGCAGAGTTCACCAACCATTCACGTTATGTTGAGAAATATCCATATATCATTAAAAATACCCTAACTTCAAATAGAACAATACCTGAAGATAAAACCAAGGAGTTTTTTTATACCATGCCAATTCCGTGTGAAGGGTTATGTTGGTGAAACTGAAAGAAGTGTTGACATGAGAATTTCTGAACATAGAAATATGGAAACACAAATAATGCCATTTTTCTTTATATAAGAGCTGTCAAGTAGATTGAACCTCAACAATAACTTTATACAAATTGGATAAATAAGTAAAAAAGAGAAATCTCCGAAAGCTGCGCAACCAAAACCTACCTAAATTTCAAGACCCCCCCCCCCCCCAAGGTCACTTAAGCTAGATAACTTTGGATCACGTAGGCGTTGTTGACCAACTTTCCTGCCAGAAGATAACGCGAGACTGAAAAGGACGCACTAGTTTCTCGTATATCAAGACTTCTGACCGTTTGTTTCACTTGATGTGGTTTTTCACTAACCGTGCTACCATTCAAATGTGGTTTGACGCTTCCAACTGTAATACACGAATTTTTGTATGTTATGGGGATCGCGATGATAAAACAACTGTTAGATCAGTACAGTAACACGCTACGTGCACATAATGTAGGATTTATTGGGAGGCTAAGCTCCCAAAACTAAATATTTTTTGGGACATTTGCTCCTCATCCTGCACCAACTCGGCGCTTAAGGGCTATTCTAGTTCTAACAGTTTAAGTATTTGTAAGTTTACCCGTGAGTATTTAAACACAACGACAGGAGTTTAATCTTCAAAACATATGTGCAGTGTTCTGATGTTATCTTCACATTTTAGTGGTGATGTGGTTATTTGACACAAAATTGTTTGTCTTAATACCTAACAGAACTATATCTTTACGCGTAGATATATGATCTGTTACCAACTATTGCATCAATTTTGAACATTTTTAAAGTACACCTGAATATATATATATACGTATTTACATTTTTCTACCGAATATTTTTCATATTTCCCTGTAGTACACATTTTAAACGTGAATATAGGTTATAAGTGCTTGTGGTCGTACAAAAGAAAAAAAATTAGCAGTAACATAAAGTTTTATAAAAAAAACAATCCACACATATATATATATATATTTAGTTTTTGTTTTTGATCTCATGATTCCTTTGAACATTTACTGGAATAAGCAGTCCCGAGTGTAACTACGTGAGCGAAGTTATTAGGCGGAAAGCTGCTTTAGTCGCCTACAAACTGTTAAGTTATTAACCTGCAGAACCGTGACGTCATGTCCATGAGTGAGTAGGTACACGTTTTCTAAGAGAGCTGTGATTACACAAACTCCAGTAATGGCATAACGAACGTCACAATCTAACGGTACGCAAAAACACACTATAAATACACATATAAAAACACGCACAAAATGCTTCTTCATCACTCAGAAGTTGGAATGCTTACAAAATCCAAGTTTATATATATAACCCTCACATGTCCTGCCACTTGCATGTCGTCACATACCAAACTATAAAAGAAAAGCTGGCACACAGTTGTCACTATACTGTCTAACGCCTCCACATGGATTTCCTTCTAAATGGCTAATAATCATTACAGCGTTATGCAAGTCAAAGAAGTTACAGAAATATTGCACAAATTAATCAGAGGGCCGAATGTAGCCTAGTGTTTAGGGTGCCCGGGACTATGAATCTCAGGATTAATTTCGTTACCGAAAATGGAGCTCCTAGCTTTTGGGCTGTGGGTGATCAAATACCATTTTTTTGGTCAGACATAAGTTGGCGATAAGTTGACTAGTTGCCTTCCTTCTAGTATATCATATCAAAGTTAGGGGTGGCTATACGCACACAGCCATTGTGTAGCTATGCGCAAAATTCTAGAAAAAAAATCACCTAGTTTTTCATTCGTAACTTAACGAAAACAAGATGGCGAATATAGCGATAATTCCTTTTTTTTTAATTGGAATTGTTGCAAAATCTTGTGTTTTTAC